CTCCGTCTCTAGGAGACTCGTTCAGGTGGAAAACACCCAGTTTCAAACAAAAGGCTCATCGTTGCCATGTCACCCAGAGCCAGGGCTCCAGAACCTGCCATCACAGACTGAGTCCCTGTTCCACACAACCGGCAAGGGGTAATAAGAGCACCTCCCCCAGGGTCGTCGGAAGGATGAAATGAGTTGTCACTGTGAGGAGTTTGAACCGAGCCCAGCACTGGGCACGTAGCAGGTGCTCACTAAATGCTGCCACGGGGACTCAGAAGCAGGTTCCTCTGTACCCTCACGGTGAGTCCCCACAAGCAGCCCTCCCCCACCTCCTCCTCCTGTCCCCTGCTTGGACACCTGCTCCTCAGAAACCAGCTGGTCCACCACTTTGCTCCCGAACTTGTGGCAGATGTTCTCAGGAATGGCGCTGCTCTTCCGGCTCGCGGGCGCCCCCCGGTGCTCCTGGGTCCTGGATTTGGGGCCTTCGTTCGGCTGAGCCCCCTCTGTGCCCCCTCTCAGGGCCCTGGGCGGTGGGTCCATACACAGAGGTTCCCTGCTGGCAGCGCTCGGAGGCGGAGGCGGGACCTCCGGGTGGCCGCACTCCAGGGAGCTGCCTTGGGCGCCCCTCGGGGAGAGGGGGACCTGGTACTTGAACCTGGAGGGGTCCAGGGCGTTGCAGGCAGCGCCCCAGGGGACTGCGTCCTTCTGGGCCTCCTGGTTGTTCAGGTGGGCCAAAGTGGTTGCTCCTGAAGGGGGGAGAGACAGAGGGACAGGAGGGAACAGAGGGACAGAGCAGGAAGAGGGGCAGAGGCAGGGAGAGGGAGGGGGAGGAAGGAGGGGGGCGGGAGAAGCCAGTTGGCAGCCAGGCCCAGCACGCGGTCCCCACGCTGCTATGGCCACCCGCTGGCCAGCCCTGAGGCCCAGCCTGTGACCTTGAGGAGGACTGGCCTCCCTGGGCTCTGGTCTCCGCCGCGTCCTCAGCTCCTTCCTCATGGTGAACCTGCAGCCACCCACCCAGGGCCTCGGCTGCCCTGGGACCGGCAGAAATCTCGGCTTAGTCACGTCACACACCAAGAAGGAGCCAGAGCTAAGGCCTCAGCTCGCCAGCGCCCACCCGTCCTCCCTCCAGCCGCCCACACATCCCCACCTGGTCCCCCCGTCCTGCCCCTGACCCCAGGGCCAGCAGCTCCCTGCCCTCGCCCTGGCTCCAGACCAGCCAGGAGCGGCTCCCCTACCGTCCCCAGAAGCCCTGTAATGTCCCACCTCGCGGCCTCTGTGCGGGCTTCCCACTCCCTGGAAGGACAGTCCCTGCTTTTCTAAGTCAAAATCCCAATTTTCCCCCAAATGCAGCCAAGTCCCCCGACACCCACCCGAGCAGCAGGCCAGCTTCACCCCAGCTCCCAGCTCCCCGCACACAGTGTGCGTCTTCTGCCTGCAGGGGGCAGTCGACTGTCCCCTGCTAGAGAAGGGGAGGGCCACCCCAGCAGGCACAGGGTGCATCAGGGGAGAGTGGGCGCACCTACGCTAAGGGGCT